GTGTTCTTTCGTGGTTTTAATGATCAATTGAAATGCCGTGGTTTTAGTAATGAAACAAAGCACTAAGACTTTACCGGAATATTGGCTTAAACACTTTCTCAGAATTTATACAATATAATTTATACTGTTCTGGTTTTCTCCCATTAAATTTGCCTATGAACCACGTTTGAACACAGTCAAGAGATCGTGTTAGCAGTCACAGCCGTACCATGAAAGGGGAAGTTTCTTTCTTTTTCGCGTTCTGTCTTGCTTACATTTGCAGAGTGCACCGCTCTGTGACATGTGGGAGTTCACGTTATGTGAGTTAGCTCATTAGCGTTACCGATTCTCAAGATGAATTCGACCACACGCTGTGCTCGAAACCATAGGCGTGCGCTGCATAAAGAAAGAGGGAGCGGGGCAAATAATTTCCGGGCCCCTTATCTAATTTTCAGTCAATTTTTGAAATGTATTTTCGGCTACAGTTATCATTTCTAACTTACCCGCATTTTTTCGGATATTTTCGTACGTTTTTCAACATTTCAGCTGATTTTGACCGATTTTCAATCTTTTGGTGCATTTTTAGGCGATCCATTCTAAATTGGACACTTTTCAAGGTTAAATTGAAAAGTTTCTTCATGCTTTGGCTCCGAATTTGTCCAGCGCACTATAGGGCCGGTTTCACCAACCGGAATCAAGAAGGTGATCCCGAGTTGATGCGGATCAACTTCAGTTTGATCCCGTTGTTCGTTTCTCCTCGCACTTGACATGAATCAAGGTGTCTGACTCGGATCAAATTTGACTTTCAATTGATCCGTCGCCCAGCGGTGGATCACGGCCAGATCAGGAGTTATTTCTCGTCTTGGTCGTCTACCTATTCCAGTTTTCCGTATTATTTAAGTAAATACCTGTAGTTGGACTAGGATTCAGTATGGAAGTATTCGGTAAGAAGTAGGATTGCGCGTAATATTTGTTGAGCAAATGTGTTTTTTAAGATAGTATTGTAAATAAAAGTAGGGTTAACACAATGATAGGTTAGAATTCTCGGTATTGGGAAGTAAAATTTAAATATATTTGGGCTTCAAATTAGTGTAATTATAAGTATCATGAGTAAAATTGCATTTTGTGTTATCTGTATTGCAATTGGTGTGGAATAGTTTTATTGAATACTTTTTTTAGTGTAGTAATACTTTGAATTTTTGTTCTAGTTAGGTTAATTTGTGTCGTAAAAATGGAGTATGTTTTCGAATTGACTCAATAAATATTATTATTATTATTATTATTATTATTATATTATTTATTATTATTATTATTATTTTATTTTTTTTATTATATTATTATCTATTAATGAAGCATTGAAGATTTATGGTGCGGGAAGGCCACAGAGTAAATTCCAAACTAGTCGATTTATTGAAATGTCAGACGAAGCATTAAACTTTCTTGAATGCATTAAGCTTCGGTAATTCTCTTTCAAACTGGAGAGAATTGGCGTCGCTATGCATTCTTTCAACGCAGGTGAATCTCACCGACAAGAACCTCCAACACCAACCGAAACACACGAGACGGAACGAATGAAATCGAAACAAATCGTTTCTTACGCTGACCGCGCAGAATACCACGATCCATTGCAAAATTGTTGCCAACCGCGCATTTTCACGACTGCTCACGAATCCTGGGATCCGGATTAACTTCGAAGTTTCAAAACGTTGGTGAAACGCACAGGGATCAAGTCGGCCTTGACTCCGCGGATCAGCATCACGAACTCGGATCAACTACGAATTTGATCCTGGTTAGTGAAACCGGCCCATAGATACACTTTGCACGATTTCCAATTTTTTCGAAGTTTTGGCGAAGTTTAATAATTTATCTCATCCTTTATGCCATATTTGTTTGTAAGTTTTAAAACTAATATTTAAATTATCGAAAATATAAAGAACGTAAGTACACCATTATTTTGATTTTGGCAAATATTAACTATTTTGTACAAACAATTGAAAAATAATTCAAAAATAAATACAAAATATTATATGCGTAACGTACAGAAAGTAAGACTGGCGTATGAATGAAAGGTTGACAGATAAGGCGACGATAGGAGCCAAGTCCGGCATTTTGAAGTGAGTATGCCAAAGACACTTTCGTAGTTGCGTACACTACTTTTTAGTATGAATTTATGGAAACTTACAAGTATATTTTCATGCTATCAATCTCGATATTCGAGGCAACAATCACGTTCATTCATGTCGCTCCAGTATAATTTGCGGTCACCACTTGCTTTGTACGGCCGTGGCATATTTACGGTAGAGTATGGCAAAATAGACTTTTCCGAGTACAAACTTTCCAGGCAATGAACAGTGAAGCTAAGTACGGTTGTCTTGCGTTAGAGCAAAACAAATTAATTATTAAAAACTAGCTAACCAGCGAGTTAATGAGGCAAGAATATTTGATTAAATATAGACGTGATTACAATAAATGAATAAACTAATGTGTCGACGAGTTTCTCATCATTGAACATCCAATTTATTCATTCGTTATATTCGTCATTGTTATCAGGAATTCAACATATTTACGGAAATAAAATGTAATTACCGGAGGCTTCGAGGTCATTATCAAACTTTTCAGGGAGGTCACGGGCCCCCTGCCTCTCCCGTGAACACGCCTATGCACGAAACGATCGTGGTTTTCCTATTAAATACTCGTATCAAACATAATTCACTCACAAAAAATTTATATTAGATACGATGAATAAGATGTAGTACAAAAATATATTACAGAATTCAAAATTAAACTAATTAAAATAAATATGAGTAACGGTACACGTTTTCAAGATACATATGCAAGATAAGTAGTAGTTTCCAAAAATACTTTGCTTATTAAGACAACAGTAACAATATGCAAATGTACACCATAAAACAATATAAAAGTAATTGAAAAATATGAGATTCTTGCACATATTTGCAGACGTAAAGTATGAAATAATTATATGCGTTGTCATTGCCAACAATATTATTTATTAAAATAGCAGATTTCGATGGCTTAGCCATCATCAGTTTTCTGCTATATTGAAGCCACAAAAACGACTACAACCTATAGACGTAAAGTATCCTCATTTGATATCAAGTGAGCTTACTTTACCCCTGCAGAGGAAAAGTACCCGTTTGCGTTGAAATGTCCTTAGATATATCATAGGATAATTAATATATTTTATTTCTTTGAATTACAACGCAATTTTGCAATATGCAGACATTTTACGATGATTTACTCGAACAATGAACCATGAAAGCAACTTCTGAAAGGTCTGATTGTCCGATTTTGATTTAACTAAAATCGCTAAAGTATTCAATGCTCCTGGCAGAGCATACTCGAATCTTCTTCTAAAGCCATGCTCATTTCTGGTGTTAAACCGAAGAGAGATAGTGGTATAAAGAAAAAAGAGATTTGTCTGGATCTATGTTGACGAGGGCACATACAGATTTGGAGAGTTTTAGTGGAATAATCTAGCAATACAGGAATGTGGCTATGAAAATTGCAAACATATATTTATTTATTTACGTAAAAAATTAAAAACTGTTTGTGACATGCAATGGGGAGAAGTTAAATTGAAAGTTACATTTATGTCCGGAAGCAAAACAAGTGGCCATCTCAGCATTTGCTTAAGAATCAGAGAAACTGGATGAAAACCTGATCGAGATGGGGGACATTGACCCAGAAGCTGAAGTACAATACTTGTTACAGGCTCTTTACAATTATACAATCCAAATGGTAAATAATGCATTAAATGCCATTGTTAGCATTAAAATTACTTCCTTTTTGGATGCTTAGTATAGTCTCTAATTGTGTAGTAATAGTTGGGCAGCAGAAAATATTTTACTTGGGACTTAAAATTTTGAATCGAACTTAATCGTTTAATGTCATCTGGCAAGGTGTAAAATAATGTACATGTATTATATGTGATTTTTTGTAGTGAGCTTTTGATACTGTCACCAGATGAATATGATTACTACGCGGAGTGTTGTAGTTATAGACAACGGCGTTTCCTGAAAATAAATTCCCGCCCTTAAGTAAGTCATTTTTGACAAAAACCACTGATTCATGATATATAAAGCGATATGGTAATGGTAAAATACCTAGATTAACAGAGGATCACAAGAATCCGTGGGTGGGATTGGCTTATTATTCGTATAATTTATTTTGTAATCTGAAAGTCTCGGAGCTATAAGATATATTTCCCCAGAAAATTATGCCATATCTCAGGCAGGAATGAACATTCGCGAAATGAACACAACAAACAGTGTGGAGGCTGACTGAATTTGAAAGAATTCTGAAAGCGTAGCACAAAGAACTTAATTTAGTGCTCATTTAAATTGACATTACATTTAAAGTTTGACTGAATTGAAAGACCTAAACAATTTGTTACCTTAACATCAGTCAATGGCAAACCGTTCATTTTCAGTGAAGTGCAGAGCTGTTTATTTGAAATGGAAAACTGCATTGAAACAGTTTTCTTTTCATTTACTATTAATTTGTTATTACGGAACCAATTTGAAATATCTGATATTGCACTATTTACGGTTTCTTTATTGAAAAGAATACTCGTATCATCTGCAAAGAGAACTGTTCTTCCGTTTCTAATCGTTGAGGGCATATCGTTTACGTGTCGTAGGAAGAGAATAGGGCCTAAAATCGATCCCTACGGGACTCCACATGCAATTGTTAAAGGATCAGAAAGGTGTGTACATAATGTTCCATTATTCCAGTAAGATATTTTTACTCTTCGAGATCTTAATTTTAAAGTACGAACATAACCAATCTAGAGCCATACCACGGATTCCATACGAAGGTTTGGACCTACAAATTATCTCAAAATACCGCGGTAAAATATCAGAATTTGAAATCTGAATGACACTACCTACCGAGAGATCAGGGGTCGATTCCCGGTTTAGCAGTCAGTTCTTTGAAAGGTTGGCATCATTTAATTATTACAATAAATTTAGCTCAGCACTTTGAATCGTTGACCCACTGCTTCACGCAACCCACTTGACAAGCTCCGCGTTACGACCTCTGCTATTATCTTACAACAATAATATTATCATGGAGGAAAGATCTCCTTTTCTTTCCTCAATTATATTAGCCGAGCAACCGAGGAGTAGCAGAAGGAAGTTTGACAAGAAAGAGACGAAGAAGTCAGGAAAGAGAGAAAGGTGGACAAGGAGAAGGAGATGGACATAGTCAATAACTTTTGATAGCAAATTAAATTGGGAAAATCAGGTAAACTTTGTCGTACGGAAAGCCTGGAGGTCTTTGCATTTTACTATGTGAATACTAAAAAAGAGTACTGCAAAAGCGAGAGAATTAGCTTACTTATCTCTAGTTCGTCCATTAATGGAATAAGGGTCTATTTGTTGAGACACTTATAGAAATTCACAAAAGGAATATTTGAATAGAGTGGTGAGGAGAGCGTGTAAACTTACTTTCCGCAGCAATAGGAAGAAAGTAGAATGGGAATCTAGAAATCAGAAGGGTTAAGGCAAGACTATGTGCCATGTACAAAGCGTATGCCGGTTATCCAGCTTGGAGAAATATTTTCATTCGACTCGACACTTACTTTAGTAGAGGGGATCACAGTTCAGACCACAGAAAACACATGTTGGAAAATTTTCCTTCACAAATAGAACAATAACGGACTGGACTAATTTGCCTGAGACAGCCATGAAACCCTTTCCTCCAGGTGTCAAAACATTTGTAAAATGTATTAGTTAGTAAGTTAGGTTTATTAAAATAGATATTATTTTAGTTATAATTTTATTATAATTGTTATTTTTATTATTAGATTGTTTAGTATTTGATAATCACTATTAAAGGCATTGCTTTTAGTTATATATATATATGATATTGATATATATATATATATATATATATATATAATATATAATTTAAAAGTAGATGTTGAATTGGAGTGCCGTGACGTGTGTGAAGTGTATTGTAATACAGAAGTAGAGAGAGAAGTGAAGTGTAAGTGTAGTTAAGTGTAGTGAAATAAAGTGCAGTGTATTTAAAAAATGTATTTATTAGTTAAAGTTTCGGTGCAGGTCAGTCCTAAAAGGTAGAGTTATTGTTGTTATTGTTATTATTGCCTTTATTGTTATATTATTATTACCATTGTCTTAAAATGTTTTATAATTACGTCGTATTACAATTCCTAGTTGTATAAAGTAAATTGTAGTATTCTGCCACCAGGTTGTATACCTACCTGCAGAAATAATAAATCTAAGATAGGCCAGGTGGCGTATACAAGGGAAAGAAGGTGACCAAGATCAAGTAGGGCTCAAACCAAGACGAAAACGAACACGAAGAAGATGGCAAACGAGAACAATGAGATGCCAGACAACAAAAGGAGAAGATGACAGGCAAGAACAAGGAAGAAATTACATACAAGAACAAGGAGAAGGAACTAGAGCCGGAGGCGAAGCCGGAGCTGGAGGTGGAGCCGGAGAAAGAGATGACGAAGAATACAGAGGAGGAGGAGACGAAGAAAGAGACAGAGAGGGAGATCGAGAGCGGATGTAGGAAACGGAGACGAGAAAATAGACGGAGGGGAAGAAAGAATCGGAAAAAGGAGTCGGAGACAGAATCCAAATCGATGGGGAAGAGGGAGACGACGAATGACGGGAAGAGGTAGGAGAAGGACAAGATGAAAAATCAGGAGGTGGAGAAATATAAGAAAAGGAAGAATGATAGGGAAAATATTAGATCTCCCGTCTTAATACAATGCTATCTTTTCTCCACGTTCTTATTTAACGCATATGAAGTCCCAGCCGGGAATTCTACCAACCACCACCGAGACAGTCAACTTTTCGCACAGCCTTTCGAAGGTACGATACCCCTGTCGAGACATTAATTTATGATTCACCATCTGGTCGCCGTTGGAGGTTTATTAGTTCTAACAACTTTCAAATGTGGCTCGGTGATGAAATGAATTAAAATAACATTCATGTTTTAATACTAAGGTCATGACATGGATTTAGTTCAAAGAGCAGTATCTGTAAAAACATTAACTGAAATATACTGAAAATAGGGCAGCAATGTGAACTTATATTTTTGTGAAACAATTTTCTGTGTACCAAAGGACTTCAAGGAAGAGATTCATACTTCCTTTTTTTGAAGTAGAGATTTATTTCGACTAATATTATCTTTGCAAATCTTCATCGAAGATTGGAATCAAATATCCCTGAGGAAATAACAATGGTGACATCTATTAAAACAATTAGTTGTCGAGGGAAATTCCTTTTAGAATTCATGAGCCAAAATTTTATCTCTTCCTTATCTCACTTTCTGATGAGTTTTACGAAATGTTGCAGTCACCGTTTTCATTTATATGCAATTGATATTAAACGTCTTTATTAATATCTAAGCTGTCGACCACTGTCGAAACCTCATTCACTTGCAGAGTAGATATCTGAAAAGCTTTTATTTTTGTACAAAGAACGGCAATATATTAAAATTAACATATTTGTTCGTTTTACGGTAAAAATTTGAAAGAAAACAATATAGTAAGTCTATGCACTTACCCAAAACGATGTTATAATGTTGATGGATAACGGTTAAAGTGAAGAAACGTATTCTTTCCTATCTCTTTATAACTTACTGGCAGATCCAGTGTTGACCAGGTATTAATTTTATTTATAGCTACGCCCGCTACGTGTCATCGGCATCATACCTCAACGCCATGCAGATGCATTGCGATTTGCATCGTTTGCAGAAACACACGTTTTGGGGTTACCCAAATCTCAAATTCAAATTTGAGATAAATATTTTGGATCACGAACCTTCCTAAACCATTCTGCCGATTTTCTCTAACATTGATATTCCCCAATTTCCTCTCTTAAAAATACGATTTAAATATAATATGAAAGAAAAATTGCAAAAATACCGTAATTTTGTACGAACTTTCATCCTGCTGTCCCTTTGTCCTAGTTAATCTACGGCGTACTTCTTGTCAATTCCAATACAACAATCTAAACGTTTCGCAGCCAACTAAAATCCCGCGGAGGTCCACCATTTCTTTGATGTCCGCGCCCCTCGCCGTGGGCAGGGAGCGCGCGAGTGCACGGGATGCAGGCCGCGACGCAGTTGAGCGGCGTGGAATGAGGAAATGCCCGGGCGATAGGAGCCGCAGGACGTTAGGGGACCGGCGGAAGGGCAGCGAGCGGAGGAGTAACAGGAAGAGCAAATTCAAAAGCCAGGCCGACAGCGATGCTTTGGAGTGCTAAAATTCGTGTATGACGATCTGTTTGCGTTAGGTTCGCTGCGGTCACTTGCGGATCGAGTGTGAAGGGGCAAAGAAGCTATGGCTCCCCCTCCAAAACGCATAGACTTTTCCTTATATTCCTCTATTTGGCAAAATTGATTTCAATACTTATGTTCCACTTATATAATTATTTAAACACTAATATTGTTTTCGATGTACGTCAAACCCAAACTTGATAGAGTTAGAATATACTACGTAGAGTGGCTGATCCTATGATTTCAGCGCTTTTGGTGGACGCTCGTAAAACTAGGAACCGTCAATGTTTTACTTTCCCGTATACATACGCATATACGGACTAATATACTTAGTATAGGGAAAGTTAGATTTCGAGATTTCAACGGAAATATTCGTTTTGGGGTCCCCTGATACTCAAAAACTGGTTTTTACTTTCCCGTATACATACATATTCCCGGAGTACTATACGTAGTGTAGGAAAAGTTATGGAATGCTGAGAGAAAAAACGGCGGATTTTATGCAGGAATAAATTACTTCCGGGACCTGATAACGAAAAAGTGGATAAATCCAGTTACTAAATTGAGAAAAATTTTTTTTTAACAACCAGAATTTCTGTTTTGTTGGTCCTTGATATTGAAAAACCAATTGACGGTAAAATGTCCGTCCGTCTCTCCTCCAGTCTATTAACACTACTAGCGCTTGAACCATACGTACGATTTTTTACAAAATGGATATTTCCCGGTCGATCTGACTCCACTCGTGGCGCCGCGATTTTGAAAAACTTACTTCACAATTTGTGAATTCTTTACATGAACCCCCCCTCACCCGAAACATTTTCAGAATTTTCTCAAACTCGGCTCCGAATTTTTTTCCTTAAATTTCATTTAAGAATAGAGTAAAATAGATTTATAAAGATGGCATAGGTTATATTTTCAAGGTTAACTGTAAAGTTTCAAAAAATGCAAAATTTTGAATTTTTCGGAGTCTTCCTACTACTAGAAAACTGAAGATAGAGGTTTTTCTTTCATATAAAATTTGTTGTCCACAAATTGTTCTTTCATTAAGACCATGTACATTTTTTAAATATTTTAGTAGTTTTTTACCGCTATTGCGTGCAAACTAATCTGCAATCTGCGCAATTAAAAAATGACAAATAAAGATTTTCTCGAAAACGCTTCAATTTTTTTACATCATGTAAATCATCTAATGAGTCAATTTTAATGAGAAAAAACTCTTCAAAAATGAAAAACGGAATTTAATTCAAGGATTGTAGGAAAATTGAAATTTCAACTATTAAATCTTGATAACTTTTAAGCATTTATAAAGTTTTTTTGAAAATAAAACAAAATAAATATTTAAAACTTGTACGGGAAGACGCTCACAACTTGTTCCTTAAAAATCGTCATTGTTCAGATAACGACAGAATAGATATTCACTGGATGCGTGGAGTAACAGTCACGATTTCTCAGTACTGTGTTGGTCGATGAATTCTCCTAGATCTCACTGGCCTGAAGTATCGTAAGAGTGAGAGGAGGAGAAAGTGCTATGTTCTTTGAATAAATCACAGTCTTTTTAGGGCGCAAAATTATTCCAAGCCTTACTGATAAGTATTTGAAAGTACTTTGGACCGTTCTCTCTTCTCTCAGATAATACATTTTGTTAATAAAGTCAATTTAGTCAACGCTGATAAAGAAAGAGTATGTTAGTGTAGTTAGAGTTTGGCAATACTCCTGTGGTTTTGTGATTTAGTTAGATAGTATATAAAACTTCTTCTTCTTCTTCGGCTTTTTCTCCTTAG